TTAGTATGTTTTCAAAGGCAAAAACATTAAAAAGTACAATTCTGATGGTATAGTCATTTACCCTACTGAGTCACATTCTGCTGCGTCATCTCCAGTAGTTGCCACAATTTTTCATTCAATCCAAGTGTAGGTATTTTTATCTCTATTTCACAGACGAGACTAAGGGTCAGAACATAATAACCAGGTCGCCAGTCAGATGATAACAGGATTTAAGCTGTTTGTTAGAGGGAAGAAAGTTGACCAGTAGAATTAATTGATGTTTTTAAAATATGTTTTTATTGATTTAAGAGAGGGAGAGAGATAGAAACATCAATGATTAGAGAGAATCATTGATCAGCTGCCTCCTGCACACTTAATTGAATTTTTAATCTCAGTTTTTATCACCATTTTCAGACCTTAGGCAGATGAATTGAAAATGCTAGACCAGGTAGTTCATTAGTTTGTATCAGGCCCAGTTGATCAAATACCTGTAAGAAAATCATCAGAACTGCAGTGCATTGATCCATTTTTAATTTTGGTCTTTGCAGTCTTCAAGAAAAATAAAGGGTGAGTAAAAATTAATCAAGAACATAGAGATTCTGCCATCTACAGGTGCATAAAACTCTCCTGGAGAGAGAGAGAGAGAGAGAGAGAGAGAGAGAGAGAGAGAGAGAGTGTGTGTGTGTGTGTGTGTGTGTGTGTGTGTGTGTGTGATCGTCTGCTCCCAAAGGGCTCTGCCTCATGGGGAGCACAGGCGTGCAAATTTGCTGGTTCAATATAACATGCCAAGTGTCGCTCTGGGCATATAGAACAAGGTGCCTGTGCCCCATCTAGACCACATGTGTCAAACACAAGGCCCGCGGGCCAAATCCGTCCCGCTAGGCCTTGCAATGTGGCCCGCACCGCGCTGTCATCACTGCACTCCGCTGCGTTTCCATCACAATGACAGTTTATGACTGTTCAGTAAACCATTCGGCCCGCGATTTAGGCTGGATTTTAGATTTTGGCCCCTTCTCTGATTGAGTTCGACACCCTTAATCTAGACAGTTTGGAGGAGTAGGGAGAACACAGAAGAGATATAGGATGTGTTTTTGTTGTTGTTTAGTTTGTTTTCTTTTTGCCTACTACCATTAAAACGTAAAAGGATAGAAATTGAAATAAAACAAGCACGACTGTTTTACGAAGTGCATTCATACATTTGCTAAATTTAATACAACAGGATGTTTATTGAGAAAGTGAAATATGGTGATAAAAATAACCCAGCTCTTAAGGAATTTATAAGTTAAAGGAGGGGTGGATTTACAAACAGTGAAACCGGATTTTCAATATAAAGCACAATTTGATGCTTTCTGTTGTAGAAATTTAAGCAACATTGCATGGAGGGCAGTGGGGTTGCTAAGACCTCAGTACTAAGGAACTTGAATTAAGCCAAGTAGGATGTTGTAGGTAAGCAGGATGATGAAAAAGGTGTTTTGGAAAATAGAAGTGTTTGCCATGCTCAGGCAGTGGTGAACACCAGTAGGAAAGAGAGGCCAGGATGATAGCATGGAGCCCTGTGCTTAGAACTGGGGTTAAATCCATCAATCATGATAGCAATTAAATGTATTTAATGAGGGTGTGATATAATTCATTGCATATTTTAGGGAGATATTTTCTGACAAGCACAGTGACAGCCTAGATGATGTCAGTTATTAAAGGGGAATAACTGGGAAGTTTTGAAATAGCCCAAGTGAAAGATTTTAAGATTCCAAATTAGGATTGTTTGGAGAAATCAAAAAGAAGGGATTGTTAAAATAGAGATATTGCATGGGTTCTTTACCAAGTGGAGATGATGGAGCTATAATGAATTAAAAGGGGAAAAAACCCCACAACTATTGATTTTTTACAGAGAGGAAGGGAGAGCGATAGAGAGTTAGAAACATCAATGAGAGAGAGACATTGATCAGCTGCCTCCTGCACACTCCCTACTGGGTATGTGCCCTCAACCAAGGTACACGCCCTTTACTGGAATTGAACCTGGGACTCTTGAGTCCACAAGCCAACACTCTATCCACTGAGCCTGACTGGTTATGGCTATAATGAATTATTATACATATGTTTTAGGGTGCCTGTACAGTGTAATTTGTGTTCATGGCCTGTGTAGGATATGAAGAGTCCAACATGATTGGGTATTTCTTACTTTGTTACCATACACAGTGCTGGCATATACTGAGGTATAGGAGTCACATATGGTCTTAGCTCTTTCCCTGTCCCTTCTATCCCCTTAGGAGCTAGACTCAGGTCAAGGCTCTGTGCTCCTCACTATTTGTGCTCCTTTGCAATGATGATGATGCTGCTGCTGCTGCTGCTGCTGATGATGGAGGAAATATTTAGATTTAGAGATACAGTAGGCCTTTGATTGAAGGAGTGACCTGTGTATTACATATGTATCTCTGTGGTCATCGAATCTTCCTTAGCATTTCGCACCACAGTCAGCCATAGGATGTAGACACTGCTAACCCAGAAAGGCTCAGGTAAGGGTGAGGATGGGTTTGGAGGGTGACTGTGAGAAGTATGTACAGGGGGAGTACTAGAGGTGTCAGCAGCTTGAAAACAACTTGTTTTCATGTATCATCTGCTCTTGTCTCAGGAGTTGGATTTTTTGGTATGTGTTGTTGATGATGGTAGAGGTTAGTGCTGTTATATAATGCCAAGAAAGGAGCCTTTCTGGTAAGTCCTGAAGCATGTGGATGGCAACCACCTGAAGCACTGAGATTCTTTAACATTTGGGGAGCTTTCAGGTGGGGACAGGTGGCATGTGCCAGTCTCTCAGAGAGAGGGTCCCACAGGAGGGAGTGGCGATGGGCTTCTAGCAGCTTGCAGGGATTTATAACCCTGGTGCAGCCATAGAGAGTTGGCTGCAGGACCTCAAGCAAAATCCTTAGCCTTTGTCTACCTCTGTTTTCTCATCTGTTCATAGGGATGATAGAGTCACAATGTGAACATAGAATGAGCTATTGCACAGAGAACACTAAGAACAGGTCCTGGCATTCATGAAGTGCACAAACTATACTATTTCTCAGCTTTCTTCATCTTAAATTAGAGGGAGATATGTATGGAGTAGTAACCCCGAGAATGACAGAAGAGAGTGAAGTAATTCACTGTATTTCAGGACTACAACTTCTCCACATGCTGGATAAACATGCAGAACTGTGATCCACCTGACGATCCCACTTGGAACAAATCTAAATTATAATTGGTTCCAGGAATTCACTTTCTGTACTTTTTTGGTCCCGACTAAAAGCTACAGAAACTAAGGCATAAACTAGGTATTAGAATATGCAGAAGCAGAGTATAAACACAGCTGTTCTGGTGCAGTGGAGGGATCACTTACAGAAATCCGGGGTACACACCAGCGCTCTCCCCAACCGCTTCCCAGAAGGAACATACGCCCTGCATTCACCTTCCAAAGCAGTTCGCCATATTTTATATTTTTAGCACCTCGCCTTTTGAAGAATGCAGACACAGTTCTGTAGGAGAGGGGAAAGCTGTGTTACTTGGTAAACCGGGTTTTTGCATTCTTATTTATCCAAGTCCAGAATGATGGCCATTCTGGGGAATGGATGAAGGTTGAAATGATGGTTTGAGTCCTGGATTTATCAGGTGACAAAGTTCATAAAAAATGTGTAATCATTTTTGAGTTCCTAAGGTTCCTCTGTTCAACATAATGTTCTGACGTGCAGAAGGGACAGTCCCAGATAGAAAATGCAAATCAGCTTCACAGCCCATGCTCCTGGAAGCCAGGGTTAATCATGCACATCGGAATGCAGTTCTTGGTATTTGGAGAAAGGGTTTAGTTGAAGTCTCAGGCACGTATTAATTTAAAATTCCTACTTCAGAGAGCAGTGCCATTTTTTTCAGCTTCAAATTCTGAAGTATAGAACAGGATCTGGGGACTGATTTAATGATGGACATTCATCCATGTTTGACAGTCATGAAAAAAGAGAGTGAAGTGGGAGGGAGGGCAGCCTCAAAGAATGCTGGTATTTATAAGTATAATACATACTGCACTAGACCGAGATTTATAAATGTCCTATAGCAAGTCCCTTTGCTTAGAACAAGACCAAGTCAACCCATTATACTTGTTTACTGAATATCTGCTCAGTCCGAAGGAGATGTCTACTAGTAAATCAGGCAAGGACAGAACCATTAAAAAACAACAACACAAGTTCCGGCCCTGTCCAGTTTGGCTCGGTGGGTAGAATGTCAGCCTACAGCCAAGCATCCTGGGTTCGATTCTGGTCAAGGGCACATGCCCACGTTGAGGGTTCTATCCCCAGTACGGGGCATTCAGGAGGCAGCCAATCAATGATTCTCTCTCATCAGTGATGCTACTATCTCTCTCTCCCTGTCCCTTCCTCTCTCTGAAATCAATACAAATATATTAAAAGCAACAACAAAAACAAAACACCCACAAGTTCCTAACTTTGGGAGAGACATGAAATACCTTTGGAGATGAGGCTATTTACAGGAAGAGATGAAACTGTCTTGCTCACCAGTGCAAGCGGACATGCTCTAATACAGTGTTTTTCAACCTTTTTTGGGCAAAGGCACACTTGTTTCATGAAAAAAATCACGAGGCACACCACCATTAGAAAATGTTAAAAAATTTAACTCTGTGCCTATATTGACTATATATAAAGTAATTCTCTTGAATAGGAATCAAATAAACACAAAGAAAGTATTTTATAATTACTTTATTATGAAATATTAAGTAAACAAAATAGTGAAAAATTATAAAATTCTTGTCTGCACCTACGGCACACCAGGCAACATCTCGCGGCACACTAGTGTGCCGCGGAACAGCAGTTGAAAAACGCTGCTCTAATAGCCTGTCTGCTGTGCACAGTGAGCGCCTGCTCATCTTTCCAAGAACAAAAAAATTGCATGTGCTGCTGCCCAACATAAAAACTATTTTTACATGTCTCCATATCGCTGACTCCCTTGTAAGTTAATCTCATCTCACATGAATTTTTCACCAGCTTCACTCTGATGTTGATAAAGGAGATGGTTCCATCAAATACATCTTGTCAGGCGAAGGGGCAAGTTCCATTTTCATTATTGATGAGAACACTGGGGATATCCATGCCACCAAGAGGCTGGATCGCGAGGAGCAGGCCTACTACACGCTCCGAGCCCAAGCGCTGGACAGGCTCACCAACAAGCCCGTGGAGCCCGAGTCCGAGTTCGTCATCAAGATTCAGGACATCAATGACAATGAGCCCAAATTCTTGGATGGCCCATACACCGCTGGGATTCCCGAAATGTCTCCTGTGGGTAAGTTAACAATGCACATGTTTTGCAGTGTCTGATCTCAGGGGGTTTGGCTTTAAAATTAAATCATCATCTGTCCTGGGGAAAAAAAATCACGTTTGTATATAACCTAACAGTTAGGGTGGGGGGAGTGTAGGAGATGTGTTAGTAACCAGGACCTGAATACTATTATTCAACTTGTTAGTTTATTATGTGGCAAATGAGGAAGTTTTTCCTTTTACACAGCTAGCTCAATATATTCAGGAAATTTCTTACTGTTTACATTCACTTTCAATTCAAAATGTAAAAATAACAATTAAAACTAAGAAGTTTAAAAGGAAAATCTCTGCAGACACAACAGTGGAGTGATCTTTTATTTTTCTCTCTCCTGATAGTAGGATAATGATGAATTATTGTAAGCATCTCTCTGTGGTCACAGTATTAGGTAGGTTGTGAGTGGCTAGTCAGACTGTCATTTAGATCTGGTGGCCTCTTCTGTAGCGTATTCTTGAATGACAAAGGCCCATCCACGTGTCACTAGTAATATTTTTTCTAATTTCTCCAGAAACTTAAATGCATGGGATTTTATATTGAATTAATAATAATAATGGGAAAGTGATCCTCAGTTTGAGGTATATAAAAGAATGATGAAGGTTGTTTTGTTCCAAGACCCTTTGACATTGCCCCGTTTCTGCAAAAATAGAAAGTAAAGTACTTCCAGTATATACTTTATATCAAATAATATTAAACTCCGTTTTAAATTCAATGCATTCAGGTACCTTTGGAATAGTTTCAGCCAGCATTTAGTTTAAATATGGATGACCTTATAAAACAATAAAACATTATGGGGTTGGAATAGAGACAGTAGCTTTATATGTTTATTTCCTGTTATTTTTAATATCAAAGGAGGATGCTTATTTAAAATAATAATTGAACTTGTATTTTAACACAGGAAAATTTTACCCTGTGTGATTTTACTTTCAATAAAGGTCATTTCATTCATTCCAGGATTCAATAAAGGCATCTACTATGCCAGGAAGTGCAATTGCAAAGATGTGAATTGTGTGTGCCCTTTAGGAGAAATCAGAATTCGGTGACCGGAGATTTCTGTTCTTATGGGATGGGAGAGGGAAATTTATTTGGGGCACATGGCTCTTTGATTCCAAAGAAATCCAAGTGGAGGATGAGTCAAAGGAATCGATGCTCTTGGGCAGGAAAAAATCCAAACCACAGTGGTGGTATTATTCCTCCAATAGCTTCTATGTACAGATTTCTTTGACCAAACAAGCTTTTTCACACTTTCTCTGTAGCGATTGCCTCTTCAGAGTGCTTCATGCTGTTGTTGTTTAACCACAATAACAAAAACAACAGTGACAACAGCAGCAAGGTTTTGGAAGTTTTAGAGAAAAACAAGGCACATTATCCTCCTCAGGACAGTAATGTTTAGCAAAACAGGATTTTTGAGGAGAGTTAGAGCAATTCAGTTCAACCCCATCATTCTGTGGGATTGGTGGGTGCTCTTCATTGGCTTGCTAAGGTTTTCCTCTCCTTCCTGGAACAGAAGGGAAACTTGGTTTCAGAGGCTCATGGATGTCCTGTAGCTTTGATTTCAGTGGTGCCACTCTGGTGCCAAACAGCATGATTTTTTTTGCACACATTAAGTTATTTTAGTTTTTTTTTTTTTTTTATTGATTCCAACAGGTTAACAACTTCTTAGAAAATGACTTTCTAATGTCTTCAGGATTTAATTGACACTAATTGTGATCCCTGGGTTAATATCAACATTTGAAAATAAGAATAATGAAGTTCTTCCTAAAATAGGTTATATGTATTTTTAGTGCGTCATAGTTTATCGAAGTATTTTATTCTAACTAAGTAGCTATGATAACCACTAAGTAGTATGTTATATATATCACAAGCTTTCAGAGTTTAATATTGAGGGCTATTTTATTCATTACATACTGACTATTTTAAGATTTTAAATACTTGCTAGCCCTTAGGATTGTTTATTCATTGCCAGGGGAGCACACAAAAGCATGGGGAATTTAGTTATTTGAGAATATGTCTGTGTATACAGTATAGTAATGAACACTTTAGAAGAATATATATATATACTACACAACCAAATTCCTGAAGTATACTATTCATCCTTTTGTTTGTTTGAAGTTGTTTTCTTTTCTAATGAAGTAGGAAATCAATACTAATCATATCACTAGAATGAACAGTACTATACGATGGTGCAGAATAGAGAAAATAGATAGCATCAATGTCATTGATTCTAACATTCTAAAATACATCAAAATTTAATTCTTAAAATGTTTTTCAAATATACATTTTTAAAAATATATATATTTTATCGATTTTTTACAGAGAGGAAGGGAGAGAGATAGAGAGCTAGAAACGTTGATGAGAGAGAAACATCGACCAGCTGCCTCTTGCACACCCCTACTGGGGATGTGCCCGCAACCGATGTACATGCCCTTGACCAGAATCGAACCTGGGACCTTTCAGTCCGCAAACCGATGCTCTACCACTGAGCCAAATCGGTTTTGGCTACATTTTTCACTATTTGGTCATAGAAGGCATTCACAGGGCACAATCACCCAAGATTATAAAAGAAAAGAAAGCTTGAAGCAAAACAAATCTTCAAAAAACAAAACAAAACAAAACAAAAAAACCCCAAAACCAAAAAATCAACAACAGTATCATTATTTTATTTCATAATTTCAACATTATTTTAAATAAAATGGAATTGCTTAAGGAAATCAGTGTGTGAAGAAAAGAATAGGTTTATTTTCTTAGCGTGGACATTAATGACTTATTTAAGGCATTTATAAAAGGGATCCATGTATGAATATATCTAAAATAAATGTTAGATGAAAAAAGCCATATTTTAAAGGAATTATTAGAGCCAAACTTGAAACTTAGTAAAACACATTAAAAAGATGATCTGTTCCATCTCCATCAGATAGAGCATAATTGATAAAATAGCATGTGCTTAAATATATAAACTAAGAAAACATCTGTTTTTAAGATTACATTCCAAATAGAAATAAAAAGAACAGAGCACAGTAAATGCTTTCCCTAGGGAATAGGTAGATTTGTGATACAATGAAGAAGCAATATGATACTTTGTCTTATGAATTGTAGAAAACAGCTAATAATGAAATTATTAAAATTGTCATGTTTTTCCTCCTTTGGGGGTTTGGTTGAAATTTTCATTTCATACTTTTGCTTTAAATCAATTAGTATAAACAAATATGAAATAAAACTATTGCTAAAGTGATAGAAGAGCCAACTAATACCCAGTTAAATATGAATCCAGTATTCTTTTATAGTGGAGTTTATTGGAGTGACATTGGTTCATCAAACCATGCAGGTTTCAAGTGTGTAACTCAGGAAAACATTGTCTGCACACTGCATACTATATTGCCCAAAGCAAAGTCTGTTTCCATCCCCATTCTGCCCGCTTTTGCCCACCTCCTCCTAACCACCCTCCCTTACCTCTTGCTATCACCACACTGTGATAGCATGTGTTATATATGGTGTGGGTTTTGTTTTCTGATTAATTCTTTCACCTTCTTTCATCCAATCCCCATCCTCCCTCCTCTCTGACATCTGTCAGTCGGTTCCATGTACCCATCATGCTTCTGTTTCTATTTTGTTCATCAGTTTATTTTATTCATTAGATTCCACATGTAAGGGAGATCACATGGCATTTGTCTTTCCCTAACTTGCTTATTTCACTGGAGCTGGAGATTAAAATGATAGTGAGATAACCCAATATTCTTTATTCAATTAATGGAGCTTCTGTTTCTCTCTGGGTTTGCTCAGCTGCGGCGGTGAGATCCCCTCCATGGTTTCAGGTTCAGATGCTCTTGTTTGTCAGGCTGCCTCCTGGACAGTGATTGAGACTGAGAGAGATCGTTCCTGCTAAAAACTTGTTACCTGGCCCTGATGGATGAGATGCCAAAAATTTGAGTCCCATCCAATTCTGAGTATATCCCAGTCTAATAGGCATCATCAATCTTACACTTTTGCCAACCTATTTTCATGCCCCTTAAATATTTCTGAGGGCTTAATGAGTATTTATCATACTTATATCCAATTTTAATGTGCCTTGAAACAAGAAAAATGCAAAATTAAAAAAAAAAATCTAGTATCTAGTGCAGAATCATCAGACTTTTGTGTTTACATTTTGTGGCACCGGAAGTTTTTAATTCATTGGTTTTTGGGTTGGCATGTAGGGACCTCAGTGGTACAAGTGACAGCAACCGATGCTGATGATCCTACATATGGCAACAGCGCCCGCGTGGTCTACAGTATTCTGCAAGGACAGCCATATTTCTCGGTGGAACCCAAGACAGGTAAAATTTGAAATGCGACACTCCTCAGAAAGTCAACATGTCTACCTTGGCATAGAATTAATATTAGTGATTTTTACGCCACATAGTTGGCACTGACCATTTTATGGTGCTTTTTTCAATATGTATATAATGGTAATAAGTAACATATTATTTATAAAGTCAATAGCACCTATTAAAAACATTTAAAATATTAGTATTCTTAATTATAAGATATTTTATATTAAAACTATTTCCACTATCTCCTGACTGCATAAAAAAAATCTTGATTATTTTCTTTTAAGTTTTATTTTTTATTTCTCTATTTTAAAAAATACATTTTTATTTATTTTAGAGATGAAGGGAGAGGGAGAGAGAGACAGAAACATCAGTGATGAGAGAGAATCATCAGTTGTTTGCCTACTGCACATCCCACACGGGGGATCAAGCTTGCAACCAGGCATGTGCCCTGACTAGGAATTGAACAGACACAGGCTGGGCTCTATTCTTTAATTAATCCACAGAGGAATTATACACAGTGAAATTTAATTCTCAAGAAGAACTCTGTCTGCTATGCAGCCAAATCTGTGGTAGGTTCAGTTTATCATTCAGAGGCCAGATTTCTTAGGGAAATTAGTTTAAACACCACAGCTAGGATGGATTCTGCTAAATCAAAGACTAAGTTAAATGGCAAATTTTTAATATCAAGAGCCAAACATAAATAAAAGTTGCAAGATTCCTTGATAGATTATGTGGCTGTTTGGCTAGATGCTGTGCTTTGCTTTTAAGCTGATACAGTTTACATTAAGTAGGAATATAATTCATGGCACTATATCAGCTGTAATTTAATATTTTATCAGTTCTTCTTTTCTGGATTTGTGTGGAGGGAAGAGGGAATGGGTGTGAAGATGGTTGGTGTGTGCCATGGATTCTCTTCATTGCTGTGAAAATCCAAAACTTCCTTTTGTTTTAATAATTTTGCCTCTATCACAGAGAATTCTTCAAATAGCCATGCTTATAATTATGAATATTTGATAGTACCTATGATTCTAAATGAATTTTTAATTCCACTTATCCTGATTTTCATATTTTTTAAAAAAACAGTGATTTTAATTCATTCTCAAATCACTGCGGGGGATAAAAACTTTAAATGTCTTTTGAGAATGGCAGTTGTAATCATGCATGAAGAGAGATGTGAATTTAATTCTAGCCTGTCATTCATTAGAATTTTCAGAGACTGCAGTGTATATTTAGTGGTGGAGTTTCTTAAGCCACTTGCAAAGTCTAGTAGAGAAGAAATAGTTGTGATTAAGCAAGTGCTAAAGGAAAAGAAGCAAGTGAAAGTATTCTGTTCGTGATATGAAGCCTGTGAATGAAGAAAGCATATTTGTGGTTGATTGCAGGATAGACCTGAGAACTGAAATTCAAACACCCACCCATTCCTTTCTCTGTCTACTCTTTATAGCCTGGAAAGGCATTGACAAGTTTCTGACATTTTGCTAACAAATTATATACTCTTGCCTTATATAAGTGCTCTAAAAATAGCATGTACTAATTCCAAGGGTTAAATATTTTGCTTCTTTTAATGGTAGGCTTTTGATTTTTGCTCTCTTGTAAGCTAACAGGTTTTTCATCAGTCTGTATAGGTGAGGTCTCCCTGGTTGATTAACTGGGCAGTAATCTATTGCATAGGATCATATTATTAGTACTTCAAATGTAAGTTTGATTTCAGAATCTAAGGGATTCAGTGTGACCAGAGATGAAGAGTTTGACTTTATTGTGCTTAGAGTCTTTAGGGCTCTAGTCATTGGGACTTCTCATCTGTAGTCATTAGTGCAGAGCTTTTCCGGGAATTTTTACTGTCTCTGCTAATTCATAAGATGGAGAACACACTTTTTCCCCAAAAAAATGTACTTTTCTGACCAAAAAAATGGACAATTTTTAGTACTTTAAGGGATGAAGACCTGTAAATTAAATTAAGGACACATATATAATACTTTAATCAATAAAGAAATATAAAAAAATTTGAGTTAGGCTTTCTTACTTAGTGTTAGTATTATTCTCTGTGAGAAATAACATTTCTTTATCTCTAAATTTAAGAGTTTTGAGAAGAAAGTAACATTTCTGACAGAACAACAAACAAACAAACAAACAAAACACATGCTGAATATATGCTAACTCAAGATCATGTAAAAAAAATTTTTTTTAAAGGACCAGGAAATCACTATTAGTTTTGCAACTTCTAAATTCTTTTTAAAAAGAACCCATATTTTATTGATTTTTTACAGAGAGGAAGGGAGAGAGATAGAGAGCTGGAAACGTCAATGAGAGAGAAACATCGACCAGCTGCCTCTTGCACACCCCCTACTGGGGATGTGCCCGCAACCAATGTACATGCCCTGGACCGGAATCAAACCTGGGACCTTTCAGTCCGCAGACCGATGCCCTACCACTAAGCCAAACCGGCTTCGGCTAAATTCTTTTTTAAAAAGAAAAAATTTTAAGCTTATTATTAAGAAGGATCATATTAATAATCACTGTTACTATTTATGGATCATATATCATTAACCCAGCATTGCTGAAACCTCCACGCTCATGGTTCATCGTAGCACCACTTACAGGCCCAATGGCCAAAGGGAACTGTATTTCCTACCCTAATTTCTCCATTCATAAAACAAAAATGGGAGTACAAAAACCGTTGTTGACAATTGACTGCAACATGCAAATAGAACACACTGGAAACAAGATAATGTAGTCGTAAACTAAGATATTCCTGTCACCTATCTTCACAGTGTCCCCCAGTGTACTGAGAGACTGAAGTCATTTCACCTATTATAGTGTTCACCTATGCTGTAAACCTGCAAGCAAACAGACCCCCATTTTGGTCTCTCTCACATATGGCAGTTCAAAATGGAAGTGCAGGCATCTTGTTCTAAAATTAGTAGGATTTTAAGATATATCAGCAGAGCAAAAAACCCAGCGTGGGCCAGTGTGACTGCACAGGCCACAAGGCCACGGAGCTGGCCCTGGACTGTGGATTGAGTGTTAAATACCACTTGTTATGTCTGAGTTCTTTTGTAAACATAGAGGTGTGACGACTTGGCACCTGTGTTATGCTGGGTGGTGCAAAAGTAGTTTACAGTTGGTCATATGGAAAATAATACAATATTTAGTAAGTGATAATACAAGAATAAACTTTGTGTTTGGTGTACTCACAGCTGAAAACCTACTTTTGCCCACCTTGTATATTACATGTATATTTGTTACTTCATAATTTTGTGTAAGAAATATAGCCGTCACAAAACCCCCTTCCATTGCCCTTACACATGATCCGTTCTGTGGCCTGGCTCATGGTGTGGAGGTGCCTCGTGCCTGTCAGGGCTTGCTGCCAACCTCCCCACCGCAGCCTCCACAAGTCTCTTCCTCAGTCTCTTTATCTGATGCCAGCTCAGGAATTCTTTGATTTTCTAGAAGCTTTCATCTTTACTATTGGCTCTTCTTTGTCTTCTTATGGTTCTATTATATGCTTCACCAAAAGGTAAGCAAATAATACAAGGCTCAGACAGAAAATTTAGAAATAAATATAAATTATTAGAAGGAGATTCACCAGGCATGCCTAATGTATATTGCACCTAGACAGCAAAAATATATTCAGCCACATTTTCCCTGAGTCATGTGACAGTACAGACTCCTGAGACTAATCCAAAGCATGAGTGAGCAGAATTATTTCCTACCCTGGGGTGGTACATACATAAATTCTTCAGAAGATTCCATGGTAACAACATGCAAAAACAAACAAATCCATTACTGGTAGGACATTAGAGAATCATCTAAACTTTTATTTCTAACCAAACACCATGCTGTTGCTGAATAATAACAGTGATAAATTTATGTTTCATATGCACAATACTTTTTTTTGTGTGAACATGGATTATAAATATATGAAAAGTTCTGGGTTACTGGGTCAGATGAAAACTTACTCTGAAAGCCTCAAATCTGATCCAGTCTCTTGTCTAACGAGCTGCAGGATATATTATTCTCATTAGAGTAGCTGAAAAGTATTGGTTATTACTTTTAATAATAATTAAATATTATTGTCTGACATAAGCCCTTGAACTGAAGGGATCTGACTAGCAGGATTGGCCTTTCTCATTTCAGAAACAGTGTTAAGGACTTGCCATGTGCATGTATGTCTATAAAATACATAGCAAGACACAAGTCAACTGCAGCATCTGAGACTTCTTTTCCAAATGTCGACAGTTTATACATAAAAGCGAAAAGCTAGCAAAAGTCATAGAACTATAAATCTATCATTTTTTGAGTGTCCCTATTTAAATTCAATTCTCTCCCAATTATTTTATTCTTGTCAAAAATATGTTTAATATTTGAGGTATTGAGAAATTACCTTTGCCACTGCATTACTTTGCAAACTTACATCATGATTTTTGCTTTGGGAAAGTGTTATTTATAGGTTCACTTATAAAGAGACAATTAGAGGTGTGAAAAATAAGTGAGTGATTTTGACTACTGGACTTCTCTCCTAATAATTCTATATTTTCTTTAAAAATAAATGCCTCCAAGTCAATCTCTGAGAGAATGAGGCTATAGTGTTTTCTTTTGCTGATGTGTTGAAATGCTGTGGAACTCTATCACAATACTTGTGCAACAGTATCCAACACTTAGTATATTAGAATAAGTGACAGTTAAAAACAACAACAATAAAAACTGGCCTAATTAAAGTATAATTTAATTGCTTAACATATAGATGTTATTGTTGATGTGTGTGTGTCTGTGTGTTTGTACTTGATAGCTAGTGCTCAAATCTAAGCAAAAAAAAAAATGTGGTTACTTAAGATAGCTTGACTGTTATCTGACTTGGAATCTTAGAAATCCATAATTCATTGCTTAAGTCAGTCTTAAATATTGAAAAGCTTTTCTAATCTGTTTCCCATCCTAAGAACAGTTGTTGAACTATAGAACTATAGAATATTGTGAAGAACAGGGATGGACTAGTATAGTATGACCTAGGCTTATAAGTTATACTTAGAGCTGAAATATAAGATAGACCACTGAAGAAACATTCTTTAAACAATTTAAAATTAAATACAAAAATTTGGAGGATATGAAATCATTTATATGCTGAATATGAGGGGAAAAGGATACTTATCCAAATTTGTATATAACTGTTTTCTTTCCAAAGACCCATCCTCTATCAAAAAAGCCAGTTTCTCTCGTGAAAAGTCCATGACTCAAGACTTCCTCTCCCTCAGGAGTCAGTGGAGATTTAAATTCCGACTTGCTCCTAAAAGTTAGAATATTTTAATATATTTTAATTAAATATATTAGACTTTTTTTCAAAGTCAATAAATGTGTCCTAGGTACGTAGGTCAAATATTGTATTTGTTGGAGAAAATGAAAGTGCAAGAAATGATTAAATTTTAATTTATATTTAATTACTAATGATCTCATATTGCTAGTTTCAAGGTCTATATAGAGTCTATTTAGTATAGACCAATACTAAATAAGTATATTTTCATTAATCTTAACTAGATGTACATATACTAAGTATATTAGGTATACATGCCATTTTATACATTTATGTATAACATAAACTAAATTTTACCTCATAATTAGATATTATTGCCAAATATGCTTAAATAATAATTAAATTATATAGTTTTAATATAAAATAACTTACTACAATAATGATTATTGAATCAAATTTCCCCATCAAGCAATATGAAATTCTGAAATCAATTCCTCATGCATCTAAATTATTGAGTGCTATCAATACTAAATGCATCTGACTAAAAACAACAACAGAACACGCTAATATTTTTAGTGCTGTTGATGACATTAGTATAGTCATCTTATTTTTGGTACTCTTCCTCAGACCTATAGATATAACATAAGATCACTCAGCATCATAGCCATAGCGAAATGGTGTTTCGCTTATTAAACGTGAACAACTCTCAGTGTTTTCTTTTTAGAAAGTTTCCATTATTTTGATGGAAATTGGATAGTAGAGACCATAGTTGAAAGTGTAATGGTGATTTCACATCACCTGGAATTAAGTTGTTGGAGAGTGTGTAAAAGAGAAGAAAAGGATGGATTTATTGTCATACACTTGTAAAGATGACTGCCCATTATTCTAGATATGGACTTAGTTTTGTTTCTTTATAACTTGATATTTCCTGAACTGCATTTCTAAAAACTTGAAGATAATCCTCTTCATCCAATATTGAAAAGCCCTACTCATCCACATTATAGCATTTTCTCTGTTTTGTAATATTGCATATAATTATCATATCCCTTTGGTCTTTAATATCCATTAAATTATTGAAAATAAATAAAACAACAAAAGGCAACATCTCAAGAGGGCCTTGTGACCTATGTCAGTGTACTTCACTCGTATGAATTCAGTGAATCGTGATGCCTTTTACTGGGATTTGAAATTTTACAGGAGTCATCAAGACCGCCCTTCCAAACATGGATAGAGAGGCTAAAGACCAGTATTTGCTTGTTATTCAGGCAAAGGATATGGTTGGTCAAAATGGAGGACTCTCAGGAACCACATCTGTCACCGTGACCCTCACTGATGTCAACGATAACCCACCTCGCTTTCCTCGAAGTAAGCAAGCTATTTTGTTAAATGGCGCCAGGTGTGCTAACTTTCCTTGCCCATCCTATAAATGTCTTTATAAATAACTTTTATTCAAATTCTGCTCAAATAATTTACTATTATTGTATTCTCCCACAATTTTGTTTTATCAGGGGCATGATTTTAACTCAGAAATATAGAATAAGGAGGATATTGAAAAGAAATGAAAACAATCATATATGTATATTATTTCTCTCTAAAATACATGGTTCTTGCCAAAACCGGTTTGGCTCAGTGGATAGAGCATCGGCCTGTGGACTGAAAGGTCCCAGGGTCAGTTCCTGTCCAGGGCATGTACCTTGGTTGCGGGCACATCCCCAGTAAGGGGTGTGCAAGAGGCAGCTGATCAATGATTCTTTCTCATTGATGTTTCTAACGCTATCCCCTCTCTCTTCCTCTCTCTAAAAAAAAATCAATAAAATATATATATTAAAAAATAAGTAAATAAAATAAAATAAAATAAAATAAAATAAAATAAAATAAAATACATGGTTCTTGTTCATTCACATTATTTGAATACTAGAGGCCCAGTGCACAAAAATTGATGCAAGAGTAGGCCTTCTCCTGGCTGCTGGCTCCAGCTTCCCTCCAGCCCCTTCCTCTGTCCACAGGCAGGCACTCGGGACCCGGGCTGCTTCCCTTTGGCCCGGCTTCATCAGGAAGGATGTCTGGTCTAAATAGCATATTACCCTTTTATTATTATAGATTATACATTATTGTCTTTACATATTAACCTTTTTAAAAAAAATAATACATTTTCACTGATTTCAGGAGGAAAGGAGAGGGAGAGGTAGAAACATCAATGATGAGAGAGAATTATTGATTGCTGCCTCCTACATGCCCCCCACTGAAGATCCAGCCTGCAGTCTGGGAGTGTACCCTTACTTGGGATTGAACCATGACTTCCTGGTTCATAGGTCAATACTCAACCACTGAGCCACACTGGCCGGGTGTTTTAACCATTCTATTCTAAGGCATTTTTAAACATTCTGTAACTTACATGGTTGTTGTAATGAGTAATGTAAAATAATACTTTATATTATTAGAAAGCCAAAGTAGGAGATTCCTGAGCTCTTTAATTTCTTATTCTACTTCTTTTTAACCACTTCATGCACATCGAACATTCCTTTTTAGTTCTACCACATCTTTCTTGGGCAAGCACTCGGTATTCCAAAAAGAAATCAATCTAAAGAACCAGAAAACCACAGGCCCTCAATTTAGTTTCTTTGAGCAAAATGGCTTTTGACTTAACCAAGAAAAGATTTTAAAAAATACTGTATGAAGAGATGTTCTGATTATAAAAAAGCATTTTAATCTCACTCTCTTTCAGTGTCCTTCCCCCCCCCTCTTTTGTTAAGGCATGTGGTGCTGCTGTAGAATGTTCAAGAATGTGAGGACATTTTACAGACTACAATGTCTCTAAAATGCTTGTTTGATAGAAATGGGGAACTAAGCTCCCTTACACAAAGACCTTCAGAGCGAATAATGGCAAGCAAGGAAGCTTTCTCTGCAGATATGAATGCCACTATGTTTCCTTTCAAATACTGCTTCTTTCGATTTTTCATTCTATGCATTTTTAATATTTATACAGCCAACATTTTAATACCTCCTGGCAAAAGAAACACCCATACATTTATATCCTAAGTTTTTCTTTTTAAAAAAATGAATCTACCCTTAATTGTGCTCTTGATGGCTTATTAAGGGGGAGGTGAAGATTGTAGGATTAAAAATATACAAACAATAATGTAATTATATTTGGCTTCAGAATAAATTTAAATGTTTCTCTTTAAGCCTACAGAGATAAAAAGTGATGCTTAGAATTTTGTGGTTCCAGTGCTCAAGATTTGATAAGATAGAGCACAGATTTTCTAGCTTTAGATCCTCTCCTACTTATTAAAGTGAAGGAAGCCAAGGATGTGTCATTAGATGTTTTAGTTTTTGCTGGGGTTTTTCTCTAAAATTTGGTTACTATATTAACTTTGAATTTTTTGGGGGATTTTTAATAAGGAAAATTCTGGATGTGTGCAAAGAATCACTCAAAAATGATAAGCATATATTGTAATCATGTCTATAAAAATCAGTAACTTATTCACAAAATTTAGAAAATTGCAAACCGCAATAGCTTTCAGCCTAAAATGTGTTTCCTATAGATACATTTTTCTTTGCATATTCCTCTCAGAGAGAAAGCTTCTTCTGTATAAGAAAGTGAATATGCACCACAGTTGGCAACCTGAAGGAAATGGATTAGGGGGGAGGAAGCAGGAAACAGTAGGTGATTAGCACAAACAGTGAAGGAGCATCTGTTCTTGAGGACTTTCATAGTTTCGGAGGGTTAGTCTACACATTTCATCTGTTTCCCTAACTTCTTTATTTCTCGTATTTTTGAGTTGAGGGATATTGAAGAGGAATTTTTGTAAGGCTTTTTTGCTTTGTTTTGTTTTTTTAAGACAAATTATCTTTTCTTTTTCTTCCTATTCCTGTTATATTGCCTCTGCTCTGGTACCATTATATCCCCGTCAGTCCTGCATATAACCTACAGAATTGTCCTTGGTAAATGTATGAGCTAAACTAAAACAAGACTAATATTGTTTTTCATAAACTTTTTTATCCAGTTCTCTGAAACTCTGTTAGTAAAAGAAGCTATTGTATAAATTCCAACTTTAAGTAATCAGAACTGTTGAGGCTTGTATTTACCTATGTAAAGCCTAAGCTATACTATTTTTATTTTTTAATATTTCCATTATATTAATTATAGCTGAATTGTTTATATTCAATGATTGTATATGAAGTAACTATAATTATTTTAAATGTATTTTGGTATTTAAAGTAGCATAGTTCCTACCACTAGAAATATAGAAATGGAGATTCTTTTCTTGCCTCTTCTCAGGCCATCTGTTTCTGCTGACACATACTCATTATTATCTAATCATCCTCCTGAAATATCTTGAGACTAAATGAAACTAGTCTCATATTGCCTAGTGTCTTCTTTATTAAAAAATAAAACATATATTAAGACAAGATGATGCAAAATAGTCAACTAGTTACTTTTTTCTCCTCTGTTAGCTTGGTATAAGGTTTGGCTCATTTTTGTTTGACTTTTTCGCAGGATCTTACCAATATAATGTCCCCGAGTCATTGCCAGTGGCCTCTGTTGTGGCCAGGATTAAAGCTGCTGATGCAGATATAGGGGCTAATGCTGAAATGGAATACAGAATTGTGGATGGTGATGGATTGGGGATTTTCAAGATTTCTGTTGACAAAGATACACAGGAAGGAATCATTACTATACAGAAGGTAACATTTTATTGATTTTTCTATACTAGAGGCCTGGTGCATGACATTTGTGCATGGGAGGAGAAGGAGGTCCCTCAGCCCGGCCTTTGCCCTCTTGCAGTCTGGGACCCCATTGGGGGTGTCTACCTTGCAGCTTAAGATGTCAGTCAGACATCCCTCTCACAGTCCAGGGCTCTCACAGTCCGGGACCCCTTGCTCCTTATCGCCTGCCTGCAGTGGAGGCAAGAGAGGTTCCTGCCACCACTGCTGTGCTTACCAGCCATGAGTCCAGCTTATGGAGTGCACTGACCACCAGGAGGCAGCTCCTGCATTGAGCTTCTGCCCCTTGTTGGTCAGTGTGCATCAAAGCGACTGGTCATTCTGCAATTCAGTCGATTTGCATATTAGGCTTTTATTATATAGGATGGCAACTTCACAGAGATTACTGAGAAGCCCTGTCTACCTTGAAGGGGAAACATATTAGACAAACTGCATATTCACTTTCTTATACATTTGTGTGTGTGTATGTGTGTGTGTGTGTGTACGCGCACGCGTGTGTTGTGTGTGTTTTTAATTTTAGGAGGAGAGGCTGTGCATTTATTTGTAGGTATCATGATCTTGGGAAATACTGAATGACATGTGTAATCATACTCCATCAATTCTATTCTCTGAGTGAACCTCGCCCTATCCATAGCTCTATGACAATAGGCACACTGACCAATGTTTTACTCATTTTAAGTGACCTGTTTGGAGAGATGACTGTGCCTCTCAGTGATTATTTCACTAATGAAACCTGACTATTAACTGAAAGCCTTTGCAAGCAAACCAGATAAGCACTCCACATACTGAAAATAATATAGGTAATCTTGGAAACAGAAAGCAAAATATTGAAAGCTTGCTACATTATCATTTTTTTAATTTGTATTAATCGAAATGCTTGAAAAATTTACCCCATAATGCCTTCCATCTAAGTGCAAAGCAAGTCATTGTCATTCAAACTGAAGGCTGTCTGTGAGTGTTTTTTAAGTAGCTCCTGACACTGATTAGATATGGTGAAAATGAGCTGCTTAATCCATCAACTCTGTTTAGACATGATCTTTAATAAATGTTAAATTTTAAAAAGTGTCAAAAGGAATTATTACTTATCTCAAATATTGGAAACACTAGAAATTGAAATATAAATGAAAATCCACACTCTGAAAAGGCTGGGATTTTGTCAGTCTGACAGTCCAGGTGTAAAGCTCTGTAATTAACTCTTCTAGATAATTAACACATATCAAAAAAAAAAAGGAAGTTATATTTCAGTTGTTATAGGAAAACATATGTTTGATTTCAGGCCAATGGGCAAAACATTTCTGTAGTTATTTCCAGTGGACAGCTGCTGTTTTAGCTCAGCTGGTAAAAATCTATGCAAAAAGTTAAAATAAATAGGATTGGCCAACTGTTGGTAAAATATTTTGTTTTGTTGTATAAAATAAAAGGAATGCAATAAGGTACACTGCTGCTCAAAAGATTTCAAAGATTCATTCAAACTCAGTTTCTCCTATTCAAGAATGTTTAACTATTTTCGTGACATGGCACTATAGATGCATCTAGTTTTTAGAAGAGAAACTATTAATCAAATTTCATTTTCAAGAATTATTTGATCAATTTGTTCAAAACGTAATTAATACTTTATACGCAGCTAGTAGACTTCATACTGTCATAAGGTCTTTCATTAATCTAGTGCTTGTTCTCTCCACAAGCTTTAACTAGGGTTTATATTTTAATTTATCACATAAGCATCCAAGAACTGTTGGATCCCTTGAATTATTTAACCTGCTATTTTCCAAGTATATATCCCGCTATTCCCCAGTTCCATTTGAAGAGCCAGAGTAGGCACTAAGCCACTTTTCATTCCCAGAAGCAAGATGACTTTTCTAGCTCTTCGAAATCTCCACCTCCTGTGAGAGTCTCCTATGCTCTGCCCCTATACCCTCTTTCATTCACTTTTAAATCTGGAAAAGTGTTCCTGTACCATCTTTAAATCAACAGGTAAACTAGAAAGTAAAGTTGTCTGTACAAACTATTTTTCCTGTTCATGGAAGAGTGTGTTTTGTTTGTGTGTTTTCCTTCAATGATGGACACTTGGTCTAATACAAATGTAATGAAGTTGTCTCAATTCCACAAACACTGTGGCTTTTCATAGACTTAGCTGTGGCCAGGAAAATGTGGGTAAATAACCAAGGCTGTGTAAGAGTATCCAGGAGAGCTCAGACGCCATCTGCCAAGTTGACTGGTCAGTCCCATCTAATCTCAGTTTGAACATGACCTGAGGAAGGAGTTGAAAAGTGGGCGGATAACACTGTTCCCCAGGTAGATAGGGAAAGGGAGATTTTCCAAAGAGGTGCCACCTGTGCAGATCCATCACATGCAATGCCTTATGAAGTTCAGGGTTAGAACTGTGAGTAAAATGGGGAAGGGATATTGACATCCGGCAAGGTGATGTAAGTGGAGGGGCTCCTTCCCATCTTTATGTCTCCTTCCCGAGACCACAGTTAGTGAATAGGAGCTAACTGTATAATAAGTTGCAAATAAGAATGGATTATAAATTAATATTAAAAGGCATTTTAGGTACGCTATAATAAAATACATGACAGAATAAAAAATTGTATTTTCTAATTTCTCTTAATCCTTTATATATTGGAACTGTCTGTGATAATTCTAATTCATTTCAAGCACTTCAGTTCCTTTCAGAGGACTGTATTATAATATCAATATTTACTTAACATGTCATTTTTCTGATTTTAGTCAAATAGCACATCTTTTTCCATTATTATTACATGTAAAGTATTGGAGTCATTTCTAGGTTCTTGTCTTGCCTTTTCTTGATCCATACAGCTTTTGGCTGTGTTATTTTTTCTTTTCTTTTTTCTGTTTTTTTTTTTTTTTTTTTTTTTTTTTTTTTTTTTTTTTTTTTTTTTTTTTTTCCAGCATTCTACAAAGGTTGGTTATCACTGCTTCACTCCAAAACTATTATTTTAATAGCTCTGAGATCACGACCTGCTTCTAGCCTCTCAATTCTTAAATCTGTGCTTTATAAAATTGCTGTTCAAAACACATTTTATTTTTATCATTTTAACTAGTTATAAAAAAATTCATCTTCCACCAAGGAAATAAAGGAGAGCAAATTGAAAGGAAACAGTAAAATAATCATTGGAACTATATAATTCTAAACTATATAATTCTATAAAATTCTAAAAGTATTTATTGAAGACCCGTAGCTTCATGACAGCTCATGAGAAGAGTTGTTATGTTTCTGGCCTTTGGTCCACCATAGGGTGTCAACCCACTAGGAGTTGTGGATAGAGTATTCATCCCCCTCAATTACATTCCTGAAATCCACCTTTTAAAAGCCCTGGAGTTCCACTGCTTATGTAGATAAAGCCCTATTTCTATTGGAGTTGGGGTATTTTGTATGTGTGAACCTTCCTTAATAATCATCCAAACTTACTCTTTCTCTACAGTATACTAAAACCTGAACCCATGACTTTTTCATAAACAACGTACCATCATGAACTTCATTCCACTTTGAGAAAACTATTATATTTTGAAACACACACACACACACACACACACACACACACACACACACGCCATTATTGACATAGGGTGAATTAGGAGCAGGGAGAGGAGAATATAAAAGCAGTCTTTTAGAAAGATATGATAGAAAAAGAAGAACAGAATTGTAAAATATTACCTTCATGTTATTATTATAATAAGTTATTATTCCAATAATCTTACACAGATAGTCCTTACTCATATGATTAAATATGCAGAATTTATAGGTTAAAAATTAGCATAGGTGTTTTCATAGAGGATTTTTTCTGTAATTTAATTACTTTTTTATACATTAAGAATAGTTCAAAGTGATGACAAAACTACAGTTTTAAAAAGTTAAAACAATGTACAAACTTTTTTATGGCCATTTATGAATGATTGGATTATAACCAGCAACATAAGGCTTCAAAATTCACTAAGTATAAACATAAATATGATCTTATGTGCATGGAAACTGTCTTTCCACCTAGAATTCTTTTTATATTTCCATACCACAATTTTGACTTTAGGAGCTTTGTGGTCTTTTATTTTTCTTTTGAGATAAAGCATTTCTTCCGCTACGGCACCTCCATTTTCAATCTAAGACCTCAATTGGGGTTAAATATGGAATATGGAATTTTGCTTCTACAAACTACATTACCATAACGTTACAGTGCAGTAAAAAATGAGCATTTTCAAAATGCGTTTTCTATTGTATAAAGCATTACTACACATGCATCTGGATTTGTGGATGGCTTGTATGGTGGCTCACATGTTTTTAAGCTTCTTCAGACCAATTGTGTTGTACTGTCTTCATAATTTCTTTATGTCTATACCCTAACAAAGGTTAAATGAAGTCAGAACCATCAAATAATAGGCGTTGTTGGGGAGGTGTTGATAATACAGCTAGCCTCCATTCACTGTCAGGTAGGAAGAGTTAGAATAGGCAAGGTCCTGTCAACCTTCAACTCAGCTGCACAGATTTCTGAGCTCTGGGGTTAACTATCTTGTTACTGAAATGTGTCCTTTCTCTGTTACTTGCAGTAATGAGGGACTAATTCCCAGAGTTAAGCATGTGTTTCAGTATTTCATAAAATGCTGCTGATGTGAGGTAGAGGGAAATCGAGCCAACAACATTTCCAATAGATTTTCTTCTTCTCATTACGTGTTTCATTCATTAATCCTGCTGCTGTGGATGCACCTTTTTCATAATGGAGCAAAGATATTCCTTCTATTTTATGGAAAAGGCATAAGTTTTGGGTAATTTTAGTTTTAAAGGTTGGATGTGATATGATTAATAGAATAACTTTCATTTAGTGAACTTCTGAATTTCAGATTATATTTTCCAATGTATTAAACTTATTGTTTCTTTGTGATATATAAGTAGATCCTAACATCATTTTAACCATGTATATATGTGCATGTATATATGATGTAATCTA